CTGTACACGTAAGCCATTTAATTTGTATATTACACAAATGTTTCCGTGAACTGACACTTTTTAGGTTAGAAAGGTGCAAAAGTGCAGAATCACTCCAGCATCCCCTTAAATTCGCGGCATATTTGTTTTACCGTTTTTTTACTTGGTCGCTGCGATGCCTCTTATCGTTGATGTACATACAAAAGCAGGGCGATGAAGTATGCATGGGGGAGCATTATGTTTTCATCGGAAAGCTTTTATGAACGAAACGCAATTTAATTTTTCAGCCAAACCGAATGCGATGCTGGGTTTGCAAGTGAGCGACGGCATCGAGAGCAGCCAGCCGGCGTATCTGCGCGTATCGGCTTACCCGTTGCAGATCAAGCTGACGCACAATACCGGCCTCATTGTGGTGCACCGTTCGTATTCTTATCTGACACCGGCGAATCTCTCGTTCGCCACGAACTCGGACGACAACACGATCGACATTCGTTACGACGTCGTCTCGCCGCCGCAGTTCGGTGTTTTGCAGAAATTGAAAGACATTTCCGGCAGCTGGGCGAACGTAGGCCACTTCACCAGCCGGGACGTGGAATTGCACGCCGTCCGTTACCTCCATAACGTCGGCAGTCCTAATCAGGACGAGTTTAAATTCCAAGCGAGCGTGCGCGAAGTGAAGACGCAGCAGACCTACGACTTCCGTATTACGTTCATCGACCTCGAGCTGAGGGAGGCCAGAAGGGTGCCTATTAATCTCACCAATGCGTCGAACGTGACTATCGCGAGCAACCACTTGAGGTACCAGACGAATCCGCTAGTTACGTCGCCGAGCAAGATCGTGTTCACTCTTACAACGGGACCAAGATACGGCAGCCTATTTCTGTTCGATCGCAAACTCGCGGCGGCCGACACCTTCACGCAGGAAGACATCGAGGCCGACAGGCTGAGCTACCGTCTGTTCGGCAGATCCTATTCCAACATTCTCGACGAAATAACGTTTAAAGTTAACGCGCCTCAATGCGTCGACATACACGCCAACTTGAAAGTTCGATATTATCTCGGCAAGAACAGCAAATCGCTGGAGGGCATGGAGAATTTGAAAGTTGACGAGGGCTCTAAAGTATCTCTGAGAATCACGCATGTGAATCCGAGGGAATACGGTGTATCCTCTCTGATGTACAACCTTACGGCGAAGCCGCGTCACGGCTGGCTCTCGATCGCGAACGGTTCGATGTCGCAGGATCGAAAAAATGTCTCGTCCTTCACGTTCGACGACATATCGACGCAGGCGGTATATTATGTGCACGACAATTCCGAGACAAAGGAGGACTCCTTCGAGTTTGTGGCGATATCCGTCGACTCGACGGATTTTATGTACGTCGGCAAATTTCGAATCGAGATCATCATGAAGAACGACAATCCGCCAGAGCGGACGGTCGATAGGATTTTTCACGTCGTGCTGAGGGGCGAAAAAGTGATAACAAATAGAGATCTCGCGTACACGGACAAGGACATCGGTACCGCGGCGAGCGAGCTCGTTTACACGAGGAGGGACGGCCGGAAAAGTGAGTTATACAAGGTGACCAATCCCTCGGTACAGATACGCGAGTTTTCGCAGCAAGACATCGACGACGGTACAATACTTGTCCGCCATCAGGGAGATGAGCGCGAGAAAATTGAATTCGGCATCACCGACGGTCACTTTTACAGGACCGGCGTTTTCGAGATTCAGGCCAGCCCGCCGTACATCAGGTTACGCGAGAGCGACGGCTCGGTCGTCCAGTTCAACAAATCCGTGGTGCTGCAGTCGAAAGAATTGGAGATAGAAACGAACGTGTACACCACGGAGAAGGACGTAAAGTACAGCGTATGGGAGAAACCGAAGAATGGTATACTGATGAAGCACGGTAGAGAGTTAAACAGTTTTACGGAGGACGATCTGAAGCACGGCGGTGTGTTGTACAAGCATCTGGGTGGATCTTTAACGAGAGACACTTTCAGATTCAAGGTGTTCGTTAAGGGCGCGGACGCCGACGGCGTGTTCACAATCAGGGTCTACCCGGAGAGCTACTGGGAAGCGTTGATTATTCAAAGCAACAAGACGATATTCGTCGAGGAGGCCACCAGCGTTCTGCTGAATCGGAAGAGCCTCGAGATAATGCATCCTAAAATATCGCCCACCGAAATCGTCTATTACGTGCGAGAGTGGCCGCAGAACGGCTACCTGGATCTACAGATCCACGACGAGCACAGCGAGGAGATGAGGGAGGAGTACAGCGGCAACGCGGTGAAGCAATTCGAGCAGAGTCTGATAAACGACAACCGCGTTTTCTACGTTCAATCGGTGATGAATCAAACGAACGACCGTTTCGTCGTCGACGTTACCAACGGTATTACGTGGTTACGCGGCCTAAGTGTGAATTTCGCGATAGTGCCGGAGAAACTCTACGTCGAGGCGAGGAGCTTCAACGTGGTGGAGGGGAAGGGCGCGATACTGAGCGAAACAAACTTCTTGGTCGTGACGCCGTATTACGTCGGCAAGGTATCAGATTATAGAGTACTAGAGAAGCCAAGGCACGGCACGATTCTCGATTCCACCAAGAACACACAGGTGAAGAAGTTTTCACAAAAGCACCTGAGCGCCGGAGTCATAGTGTACAAACACAACGGGGACGAGTTTTTGAACGATTCCTTCAGGATGGTGGTTACCGCTGGCGATAAGATGAGCGAGCCCTTTGACGTATCAGTTGTCGTTCAGCCGGTTAACGACGAGATTCCCGTGTTAGTCAATAGAACTAAGCTAAACGTTTGGCAAGGCGGATCCGTCACCTTGACGTCGGCAAACTTAGCGGCTATAGATAATGACACTGCCCCGTTCGATATAACGTTCAACGTTACTGGAGTGAGAAATGGATACATCTCATTAATCACTTCGCCCGACGTGGACATTTATAATTTTACGCAGAGGCAAGTCAATGAACTGCAAGTGGTGTTCACGCATACGAGTAAGTATATCGCAATGTTCAGAAATAGTAATTTAACTCTAAACCCGAACGGAGAGAATTCTCTTTCGAAATTTATCCTCAAAATTTCGTAATCGCAGGACAATTCGGCATTTTTATGGATTTTTTTTATGAGACTTTTTTCAACTGGTAATTGTACCGAGGGGGGAAACCGCTGAGGGCATTGTGGTGTACAGATTTGCGGCAGTACTGGGCATTCTTGGGCATTAGGCCTTGCTGGGGCATTAAAAAGATAAAATAAGATAATAAGATAAAGTAATGCTCACTAGACATTAGTGGGCATTGGTGTGCAAGATTTTGGCCAGCGGTTTCCCTCTCAAATTGTACTTAGTACTTACTAGTAAAATGTATAGTACACAGTTGAAAAATGTGTGTTAAATTTAACAGATGTCACATGTCCCAAACAGTCCGCACACAATTTAACACAGTTAACGCAAATTTTTGTGTTAATTTAACATAATATGGATATACTAAATAATCACACCAATACTCTGTTAATATTTTAACACAACATAAATGCAAATCTCAAAATAATTTGAAATTTTGTGTAAAATCAACACACTTTTAATGACAAAATGAATTTAACAAAATTTAATTGTTATATTTTACAGTAATAAGTCAAATGGCTGTTTGAAATTACTCTCACTTATGTTATATAGAATAAAATCAATATTTTATTCTGTAAATTTTAACAGATAAATTTTGTTACTAATATTATAGAGCATATGTATTGTGTCAGATCAAAAATAAGTACACATTGTGTTGTTTTAACATTTCTCTTCAGTTATTTTAATAATTTTACATTTGATGTCAATTAACACGAGTGTAATATGTTAAAGTAACACATGAATGCGTTAAACATTTAGCACAAAAGTTTTAACCGGCATTTTTTTTTAACAAGAAAACAAATTTTCCAACTGCGTAAACTTTCAAGAAAACTCTCATAAAATTCTTCAAAATGCCATGTTGTCTCACGATCACTTGATTTTCAGGATAAAGTTTAGTGTAAACAGACGAGTTAAAAGTGAAATAAATGATTTGAAGAATTTACAGTACAAGGCTGTTTCAGAGAATTAAGCTGCAATTATATTTTTTAAATTAATAACGTTGCAAACTTAATGCGAGATTCGCGTGAAGGGGTAGAAGTGTATGATGCCTTTTCTTTTCAGACGGATCGGACGGCGAGTTGAATTTTGTTTTAAGCGACGGCGTACACACGAGCAAGTCTTACACGATTTTGGTCGCCACAAAGCCAATTCGTCTGAATATCGAACACAATATGCCCCTTAATGTCTTCCCCCTTACTAGGAAATTAATATCAGACAAGCTCTTATTAACGACGTGTTCTGACGAAGCGAGGGAGATTAGATACACTGTGCGAAATGGGCCCCATTTAGGCAAAGTTATAATGGAGACAAGTGAAGGGGTATGGCTTGAGGTCGAGCGATTTACTCAGAGAGATATAAACAATAGCAAAGTGATTTACGAGCACACCAAGCAGTTCATGGACCTCACGGCCAACGACTCTTTCACATTCGACATCGAGGCGCACTTCGCTGGAACTTTAACAAATCAGGTACCGAGTGTGAAGAGAAAATTTTATATCTATCGTAAATATCTTCCATTGCGTGCATCGTATTTTATAATTTATAAAAGACGGCACTCTCAGTTAAGAAGTTCAACGTCTTTGGTATTTAAAACTAAGAACTTGAAGAAGAAACGTTGTTTCTAACGGTCTACTTTCTCTATGTTCGGCAGGTTTTCCAAATAGATATATCAGTCTCGAGCGGGGGCTTAGACAGGTATATTTCTACGAAAAACGTGAGAGTCATGGAAGGCGGCTCCGCGGAGGTGATCATGAATATAAGCGGCATCGTGTCATTTCTACAAATTAACGCCGGGATCCCGAGCCCGGCGGTGCTATCGCGATTGGTTCACCAACCCAGTCACGGACACGTGATGCTTCTACCGGACTTAAACGTGACTACTTTCACACAGCCGCAGATCGAGGGTGGAAAAATCGCCTACTATCACGATCACTCCGACACGTTGGAAGACCGCGTTCAATTTTCCTTGTACTTGACACCCGGCCACGTGTTACTCTGCAACACCAGCATTCCCGTCGTCGTCGTGCCGATCAACGACCAGCCCTTCAAACTCGTCACCAACAACCCGTTCATCACGGTCGTGCAAAATCAAAATCAAACCATCACTCGGGAGAACCTGCTGACCACCGATCCCGACACGCCGCCGGAAGAAATTCAGTACGACGTGATTTCGGGGCCGACATTCGGCAGACTGCTGCTCCTGCCGTTGGATCAAAACATTTCGGAAGTGCGCCCCGTGGAAAAATTCACCCAGTCCGACGTGGATTCTAATCGAGTGGTGTACGAGCACAACGGGACGCTGCAGACCGCTTCCTTCTACTTCAGGGTCTCGGATGGTGCCTACAATCCGATGTATACCGTCTTCAACGTCCACGTTTTGGCTATACGGCTGAATGTGACGGTACCCGGACCGGTGACCTTGCAGCAAGGCTCGAATGTGGCGCTTATCTCGGAGAACGACGTTAAGCTCGACACAAACGCGCGACAAGACCTGGTGATCTACGAGATTACGACGCATCCGCGATACGGAATACTGTACGTGCGGGACGGCGCCGCGGCGACGTTCAGGCAGACCGATCTGTTGTCGAAGAGCGTGATGTTCATGCAGACCGACATGACGGTGTCGAACGACAGTCTGGAACTGTCGGCGCGATTGAGCGGCTTCGAGCAGAAGCACATACGCGTAGAGATCAAGGTCGTGCCTCTCATGATCATGGGCTCGATGACGGCGTTGGCGGGCGAGAAGAATCGGATAATTTTGCAATACTTGGACGCGACGCCCCTGGCAAAGTTAACGACCAGCAATCCCCTTTACACCATCGTGAGGAAGCCCAAGTACGCCAAGATCAAGAGGATTATCAGAAGCTCCTCGTCGTCCGGCGAGAAGAGAGGCGCGCGCGAGCGAGAGGTGGCACGTTTCTCACACCAGGAGATCATCTCCGGGGTGATATATCTGGTGTGCAGGAAAATACCGTCGATAGACGGTGTCGCGGACAGCTTCAGCTTCATTCTCGCGGCGTCGATTTTCCAGCCGGCCGTGGGCGACTTCGAGTTCCACATCAAGCTCGACATAGACGATGACAATATCACTCTGGGCGGTCCGATGGATCCGGTCGGCCACGAGGGCGAGATGGCGATCGCGCCGAACATGAGCAACGATTACTTGCTGATCCTCGGCATGCTGCTCGGGGTCTTCCTCCTCGGCGTGGTCGTGATTATCACAATCAGGTGTCGGCACAACAAGTACAAGCACGCCGAGGAAGAGAAACCGGAGCCCACGCCCGCCGTCGGGGTGATGCCGCTTCCCAGACCTCCGGATCACTTGATGCCCGCCACCCCGCATCTCAAGCCCTTCGGTAACGATCACAACAGCGTTACGGCCAGCACGCCCCTGCCGATGTTGCCGTCGACGTTGCCCCAGTGTAAAGTGATACCCTTAAGCCCCCTGGAAAGCGGCTCCGAGGTCGACGTATCCGCGAGATATCCCTACGGCGTGGCGGACGGCGATGAATGGAATAGCTTCGACACTTCCGATCTACCTTGCCAGTCGGCCACGACTCAAAGGACCAAGAAGAACCCGTTGCTGAGGAGGGATCAATACTGGGTCTAGCAGGAGAGGAACACGCTGCGGTTTACGCGAAGAAAGCCGTAGCGTATCTCGACGTGTTTCATGCGAACGTTGAAACTATCGTGGATATCATGGACCTGATGTGCCTAAGGAAAGTGAAATCTACGAGTTTGCGGAAATTGTTCGTCAAAGATGATCGCGCCGGACGATGTATCGAACGATGCAATAACGTTTGACGTGTTTTGGTGGAAAACTCAGTGATCATCGGCATCTCATCTCGATGCATCTCGATTCTAATTCAAGAGAAAAGCGAAAGGGACTCCTAGACTGCAGAAGAGAGACCTTTGGATCGAAAAGGATCAATGATCGTTAATTCGCGATCCGGGATAGTTCGCAGTGTCTCGTGTACTATTAGCCTAAAACGATATAAACGGGAAACCTAGATCTTCTTGAATGTCACGACTATCGCCGCTATCACGAGCTCAATGTGCCTAAGAAATGTCTGACTCTGCTGACATTCTTTCCATTAATCGCAACACGACGACTTTTCGTATGTTCACACGTTCCTTCCTTCCGGCGGATTGAAATAAATTCGGTCGTTGAAAAGGCAGACCCGACTGTTCGCTAAAGCGAGACTTTTTACACGACAAATTCGATTCTGGTCTAACAATAAGCGTAAAGTCCGTCGGTTCACTGGCTCGTTCTAGAGTGCAGATTTTTCGAAAAATTTTATGTTCCTTTACCTCCTTCCATTTTTACACCTTTTTTAAATCTAGGATAGTAAGATCGTTATATAAAAGTGGCATTTATCGATCCCTACTGTCGTAAGTTCCAGATAAGAATCGCAGCATTAAGATTAAAAATAAAAATGATGGAACTTTCGCTCTTAAGCTATAAAACAAAGGAAGCGTCGAGTAAGCGGGATAATACAGGAACTGTGTAACATTGTACAATGCAAATATACACAATGTAATCGAGAATATGTATGTTCCTGTTACTTGTTACTCGCCACCGAGAGAACGCAAATGCATTCATATTTCTCTGTACTCAAATTTCGACATATCTTTTTATACCGCCGTATTGTCAAACTTGCTTTATTTTCCTCCGATATAGATCTCGCGTACAATCGGTACAATCATTTCGTTCGACTATTGTTCCCGCGACTGTTCCCATGTCACTCGTATCGTGCGTCGGACAAACGATAAAGTGACAATTAACATTTGCCCGAAACACGAAAAGATCGAGCCGCTCTTTTTTTTACGGCAATACGATAACACGTAATTTTACGTAATGACAGGCATTGAATTACGGCTCTTGTTAAAAACGTGTCGTAACAGCAGACGAACAACTTTTTTTCTCCGATTAATTGTATCGGCAATAGTAAAAACGATTAATCAGTGGCGTCATTTCTACGAATAATCCTTTTCTTACATATTTCTCACGGTGAATCGTCACAATTATCTCGGAATTACGTAGAATATCGTCTACGGGACGCACAATTCTCATCCGTTTCTACGCAAGCTTCAACGAGCGATTAGACACTAGGCGACGCCAAATAAAACGATTATTTGACGTATTTTAAACGCGAACTAGCAGTAACAGTCGAAGTCTATAAGCTGTTTTTTACACGAGTGAGAATAGAATCTTTTCTACTACGAATCGTTGACGCGCAGCGAGTTCGTAATTCATAAGCGATGAACGGGGTTGTGCGTGCGCGATTTCAGTATTATCTGAGAAAAATTTATTAAATAGAGGCGTGTTAACGAATTCGTTGATTCTTAAGAAAAATTTTACCTTACGTTATCCTTGAATTCATGGTAATCCCAATGAATCCACTTTCGGTCCACGTCGTATAAATACGGTCCGTGTTAAATTTTCACCAATTCACACAACGATAATTGTACAATTAAATCACATTGACACCATACGGTAGGCAAGTTATTAAGTGAAAGTTGTACGTTAACGATGAGACTATGATGTCAATTCCATTCGAATCATATAAATTAATTAGATTAATATAGTAAATATTGGAAAATTTAACTAGATCTTTTATCAGATTTTGTTCTTACGGAGCCTTCACAGGAAAGATGTGAAAAGGAAAGACATTATTATTTTATCTTTAATAAAGTAATAATAACGATGATAGCCTTTAAAAAAAACAGAGAAGGCCCGAACTGCTTAGGACATGAAATTACAACGAATTGACAGAAATAGAACCGCGTTTGTGAAAATTCAAGCAAACATCTGGCTGAAAGTGGATTAATGGGAATTTCTCTAAAATTAGAAGTGTATCTAATAAAACAATCTAATGTGAATGTTGATTATAGCGATCATAATGATATTATATGTATATATATTATAATGCGTACAACACACACTCCTATGTAGAACGTGCTGTTCCATGAATTCATAGCATATACGCGTTAATAGATTTAATTAAAAACATTTTATCGAGAGAATCAAAGAGAAAAAGAGGAAAAGTGTGAAAGAACGAGACTGAGAGAGCGAGCGAGCGAGAGAGAGAGAGAGAATGAGAGAGAGAGAGAGAGAGAGAGAGAGAGAGAGAGAGAGAGAGAGAGAGAGAGAGCCCGTTCGTTGATTCATGAATATGTTAAATGCGAACTGTTAGGCTTTTTTACATCCACCAAAAGTGAACTGATCCGAGTGCCAAACTTCTATAATCTATGATATATAATTACCATAGGACTTGTATTTTCCCTGCCGACTGAATGCATTACTCTTCTAACTCTAATAAATTGAATGTGCGATGTTAAGTAAACCCTGGTCTGATTTCTTATTTATTATATTGCGACGGCTAATCTTTTATTAACGTTATTATTTCACATTATTATTATCTGCATAACTAACGTCCTAAGTAAACGGTTTTCCATATTGGTTTCATGTATATACCTCCTTCAATTCTAAGCAAATTCTTGTTATTGCAAACATAGAAGTTAAGAAATTTATTTTAAAGTTTTCGTGCATATATTATATGCAATTAAGTTCAGGAAAATACTCTCGTTTGATTTAAATAATACCAGTAGATAACAAAAAATCATTTATTTAAACTAAATCCAATAAAATCTTTAATCCTAATCGTTTTCGCGATACGTGCGAATGGCTTTTATTTGTACCGATTAATGTTAGTCTATTAAATCAAACTTTAATTGTGTGCATACATCTCATATTTTTCAGACGCGGAAAAGAGAAAATGGAAGATTTGCGAACAAGATAACTTATTTGTTGCTTAAGCTCCCAATATCGCTACGAATGAAACGTTGGTTTACGACGAGTATCATCTTATGCATCGAACTTATGCATCTCGTAATTTGTTTCCGGCGTAATGGCATATAATGAAACTTTCGATAAAATGAAATAATTTCCAGTTTCGTTCTCCACGTATGACATAAACAACAACGTGTACATAAATCATAGTTAAAAATTGCATTCTCTAATATCCGAATCAAAATTCATCACTCACTGTGTTCCAACACGTTCATCACCATCATAATTGCGTGATGATACTCGTCGTAAACCAATATTGCACGTAGCAACAATTTTTTCGCGACTGAATTTTCATGATTAAAAGTACCCTGGTAAAAATTTTTCCAAAATTTTCACATATCTAATGTGCTATAATATTTATGTAAATTTTATTATATTGTGATTTACAATGCCAACAGTAATCAATGACTTAACGATAATTTAAATACAAATACAATTAGCTGTTATTTATTAGGCACTTATTAAGCACATTTGAGAAGAAAAATTATACATTTGGCCTGCGCCTGAAATTCAATCAATAAAGTAGCTATCGTAAATCGGTGTGAACGTTTTCGATTGGGAAGACAGTAAAAATGAGAGAGAAACACTGCCTGCAAACGATTCATCATTGGCACGAGACAGCTCGTTGTCCGCGACGACGTCATGATTTACTTAAAATATCGAATCAAATGCGAATCGTTTTTTGTATTCAACAATTCGATACATACCGATTACGCATGTAAGTAGAATTTTAGATAAGATTATTAGCCAAGAGCAAAACGGTGACTAGTTAGATTATTGAAGTAAAAACGTGAGACTTTTAATAATCCACCAAATAAAATTTAGTAATACCATCGAATAAATGCCTTAAGCAGAGAACCTCTTATAAATCGGCAGTATGGACTGAGACAAGCAAATATTGTACTTATATTCTGCAAAACATTGCTGGAAAAATGTATGTAACTCGGCTATTTCTTGCAGAATAAATAAGAATTGAGTGCCATAATTCATTTAAGTACGATAGTTGCGTTTTGTATTTGTATTTAAATTATCGTTAAGTCATTGATTACTGTTGGCATTGTAAATCACAATATGATAAAGTTTCAATTATTTGTAGAGCTGTGAAAAAGCTATTCGAAATGCAATCGAATCAAAGTGTTTAAAGTTTGAAGAGCTCTGGGAGCGAAAATTTCAAATAAGCCCTAATTAAAAACGATTATAAAAGGAAACATATATAGGCAACTATTTTCTCGCCTGTTCGTATCGCGTGGTGTTACTTTCATTAAAATTCGGACTGCGAATTTACGGGAAATAAGAAGAAACTTTGCAGCATTTTTTTTAAACGAGTAGGCGCCGGTAAAATGTTCTCGTAAGAAACAACCGGATTTTATTAGTGGCTTCCTTTTCGATTTATTTTCAAGGGTTCGCGACAAGATTTGCGCTCACTCTCCATAGATCGAGACGATCGTTAGTATCCGCGATTTATAGCTCCCTCGCGATCAGATAAAAATCTGATAGCTCTAGAAGTATACGAAATGCTCCCAACGTTAAATAAAACGATCGAGATAACGAGAAGATTTCAATTATCCGCGATATTTATATTTATAATTATTTAGAAAAAAGATACACGAGTCTCTTACCGCGCAATAATTATACTTCCTATTGAAGCAACGTATGAGATTAATATTATTGCAATAGCGGCATAAGATACCTAAATTTCCCGGGAAATAAAATTGTCATCAATGTCTCACGGTCATTAAACATTAAAAATTAATGTCTCAATTAAGTTCATTATAAAACATAACCTATTAAGTATTCAAATGTATAGATATCTCTTAATGAAACATTACAAGATATTTCTAAAATGCTTCATCTCAAATATTTTAACGTATCCCTCATACTGATTAAATTTCGGTTTTCACCAATGTCGTTTAGATCTTTGGTCTTAATTCATCCTTTGTCTCTTTCTAAGGGGACAGTTAGATGAATTAAACTAAGATCAAAGTTAAACGACGTGAAAATAAGACTGATAATTTATATGAAATCTATGTAAGAAGTTGTTCGCTTTCGCAATGAGATATTTGTTCAACCTCATATTATTATATCTTTTCGCAAGTAAGTAATATAAAATCGATATATAACAAACACATAATAAACATGCACATGGATGGGCTATGAAAAAGTAGAATAAACTGGACGTGTGCTAAAATCAGTGTAATTAATATTCATTAAACTGTTTTGTTAAATAAACTTGTTAGAATATATATCATACGATAGGGAGGTAATTTTCATCCATTTCTTATTTATATTTATAATATATATACTCGTATATACAGATTATAAAAGATTTCTAAGTGTTGCATTTTGCATTTATAGTTTATACAATATTTAATCCTGGTTGAGTTATAAAAAGAGTCGGGATAAATCTTATTTTAAAGATTTCATCTCAAAATTTTATACTTAGAGAATTAAAGGGAGATAAAATTATATAAACAACGATGAATATTCAATGGGCGTTTAAATTTCAATTTGATAAAATTATATAGTTATTAAGTAATGAGAATAACTTTCTGTCATTTATAGATATCAATTGTGATCTTATTTAATTTTCTACTTAATATACGTTGATTCAATCTTCACCGTTCATGAATTATGAATTACCGTAAAGATACCTAAAAATTAAATACTTAAAAATCAACTCATCATTATAAAAAAATGATACTATTCTACTAGTTGTATTTTTATTTTATTTTCTCCTTTTATACCGTTCATGCTTCATTGTCTGTCTCAATAATGATTTCAAAATTTTGACCACTTGCATAATTTTAAAATGTTAAAAATTAATGTCTTGATTAAATGAATTGTAAAACGTAATCTGTATTAAATGACAAATAAGCATCTCTGAAGAAATATTAGAAGCTATACTAAACTTTGAAACTACGATCGTACTCTAAAATTGTCCAAATTATTAATATTTTGTATCTTTATGGTAATTTTTAATTACTTGAAAATCCGTGCATAAGATGACGAAGTTTTCGACAAGAAGAGTAAGGATGATTCCCACCCGACTTATAAGTAACATATCTTTCATGCGAAAATGCTTCTCGCACGCATAAGTCGATAAATAAATGTATTCTCTCGACAATTAAATATCTACTTTATTCCAGCCCATCCATCTTAAGGCAATGAATCCTGATATTTTATATAATGTACGTTCTTAACGTTTCATAGGGAATGGACAAAATAATGTCTACAACTGGAGAAATACACCATTTGTTTTATTATTAAAAGATATCATTAATAAACCGAGTAGTGTATTTTCCTGCCACACTGAGAAAAAAAGTTTATAAAAATGTATTTCTGGCACATAATGTTTATTTTACTGAAATAAACATTATGTGCCGCAAATAAATTTCCAAAGACTCTTTTCTCAGTGCAGGTGTCCATATTATTTTGTCTGTTTTCTGAAAATTCTACAGTTTTCACGGATTCGTTTCCTCGATTTAAAAAATAAGCGTTTATTTCTTACTCACCGATACGATGCGCAGTAGCGGAGTTGCGGCGCTACGTTGACCTGCAACACACAAATGCAAAATCTAAATTAGCACACTTGAATAACGCAATTAACACTTTTAAAAGATTTAATAATTCTATCCGAATTAAACGAACATGCTATTAATCTTTCAGGTACCGCGAATAAAACATTATACAATTTCCGCGGAGAAATCTTCCGCGAGCGTAAGCTTTCGTAGAAAATGGCAAAGATTTTCTTTTTTTTATCATATACAAATCATGCAGCGAGCGTTCGTGGCAAATCGTTCGAACCGGCGACTCGAGTGAAAGGAAAGGAAAATGAATTGATTCGAACGAACAAACATGCTATTCATCTTTCAGGTACCGCGAATAAAACATTATACAATTTCCGCGGAGAAATCTTCCGCGAGCGTAAGCTTTCGTAGAAAATGGCAAAGATTTTCCTTTTTTTTATCATATACAAATCATGCAGCGAGCGTTCGTGGCAAATCGTTCGAACCGGCGACTCGAGTGAAAGGAAAGGAAAATGAATTGATCTGAAACGAAGTTAAACAAATGACGATACTCACCACAGGGTTGCTCCGCCGTTGCCCGATGCCTCCCAGGCCGGCGCCTCCTCTCAGGTGCCGTCAGTTTGCGTCGTCACAAACACTCGCACAACACTCGCGAAAGAGAAGCTAATTACGATCGCGCGCGCCAATTGCCCGAGTAACGTGCCACGCTTTCGTACACGAGAAGACGAGCCGCTCGACATCGATGGCGTCGCGCAAAATGGCGGGAACGTTTCGGCTCGAACTCCAAGACACGCATCAATTTCACGCGTGTCGCTCGTCTCGCGAGAGAAGGGACTGAACGCGGGCGTTGGCCGAGCGATCTCGCGCGAATGTTTCTTCCGCCGTTCCACGAGAAGACTCGGCTGTAGCTGCGCGCTCGCGGCGATACGAAATTGAACCTGGAGCTTGGTATTCCGGCGGCGCACGAAGATACGCGGCCGGCTGCGCAAAAGATCCTGGCCGGAGGATTTTCCCGCGAGATACGCGTCTCCGTGAATCGTCAAGGCACGAGCGCCGAACAACTAATGCCGCGCGATTGTTAAACTCGATCGTTAAACTCACCGCGATCGCGCGTGTCGTCGCGAAACGCATCGGCAATGACCATATCGAGCGCGGGATCCGTTCGCTGCGTGTCCGCGCCGCTGCGCTAATGGACGAGACAACATGGCGCCGTTTCCCAGCACCGCTCGGTACTACGAGAGTTCAGTTAGATCACTGCATTATCACGTGCACACTGTGTCTCGCGTATATCCACGGAAAATACGCACATTGACGAGCAATCGACCGCCAAATAACCTAGCGGTTGACGGCGTCCCCGTACAGGGGAAAAAAACAAAAAAAAGTATGCGACGCGCGGAACATTCTCGAACTGACTGACCGACTAGTACGTAACGGCCGCGGCGGCGCGCTAATACACGGATCAAGTCGACGCCGGGATTCCGTCACTTGGATTTCTCTCGCGTACCGTATCATGAATAAACGCGCAAATTCACACGCAAAATCCACGCGTTGACCACTGCTCGGCGCGTCCGCGGCTCTTCTTTACTCACTCGACGTACGTCGCAGGCAGGGGCGAACAATAGGCGACGATTCGACGGTCCGCGCGCGTTCCCGTAATCTTGCGCTCCGTGAAACGAAGAACAGTGTCCTGGAGTATCTACGAAGTCGACAAGCTCGGTCGCGCGGCGTCGCCGCACGTCGTCGGTAACACTCGCGTCGGCGGCGCGGAAGGTAATGCGACGCGCGGAACATTCTCGAACTGACTGACCGACCAGCACGCAGCGGCCCCGCGGCGGCGCTACACGAGCGACGACACTATTCGAATCAAGTCGACGACGGGATTCCGTCATTTCGATTTCTCTCTCGCGTACCGTATCACGAATAAACGCGTAAATGCACACGCAAAGCCCACGCGTTGACCACTGCTCGACGCGTTCGCGGCTCTTCTTTACTCACTCGATGTACGTCGCAGCAGGCGCGAACACTCGATGTATGTACATACATCGCAGGCAGGCGCGAACAATAGGCGGCGATTCGACGGCCCGCTTCCCGTATCTTGCGCTCCGTGAAACAAGGAACAATGTCCTACAGCATCTACGAAGTCGACGAGCTCGATCGCGCGGCCGTGGCGTCCTTGAATCACGCGTAAAACGATCACACACGTTGCCCCGTGGCGTACGTGCCGGCGGCTCGAACGGTAATACGGCGGGCGGCCGCGGCGGCTCGAGTGGCGCGCGCTACTGCGCAGGTCTCGAGCCGCCGCCGCCGCCGCCGCCGCCGCCGCATCGCATTACCGTTCGAGCCACCGGCGCGTACGCCACGGGACGAATTCGCGATTGTTTCTCGCGTGGTTGGTTGCTCAAATGAATTTTAATTTTAAAATATGATAATATACATATACATATATGTATACATATACAATATATAAATATATATGTATATGTAGATATATATACATAATCAAAATTCTTCATAAATATGTATAGAATTATTTGCACTTATTTTTATAAAATTCTTATGACTTTTAACATGCTTTCGAGAATTAAATTACAGATTAGTCATAATTTTTCTTAATAACTTTAAGCCTATCACACAATGCCAGGAAACAGGCAACAGGAATAGGGAACAGAATTTTTGACGCTTTGGATTCGTCGGAAATTTTTTCCAACCAATCCAACGTGTCAAAAATTCTATTAACCCAGTTCCTGTTGCCTGTTGCCCGGCATTGTGTTTGGGCCTTTAGTCCCAGTCTACAATAGATGATTTAAGCCCTAAGCCTTAGTCCCAGTCTACAATAGAGATTTAAGCCCTAAGCCTTAAGAAATTGACTAATCACAGTCGTGCATTCTTCTCATACTTGACCGTGATTGGCCAATTTCTTAAAGCTTAGGGCTTAAATCATCTATTGTAGACTGGGACTTAAGAAATTGACTAATGACAGTCGCGCATTCTACTCATACTTGACCGTGATTGGCCAATTTCTTAAAGCTTAGGGCTTAAATCATCTATTGTAGACTGGGACTAAGGCTTACGGTTTAAATCTCTATTGTAGACTGGGACTAATCACAGTCGCGCATTCTACTCATACTTGACCGTGATTGGCCAATTTCTTAAAGCTTAGGACTTAAATCATCTATTGTAGACTGGGACTTATGCGTGAAGGCATTTCTTATACCATAAACCATTCAATATTAAGAAGGAAAACTACTGAAATTAAATTCTGGCTCTAACTTCCGAGTTAATAAATATTTAATTAAAATTATCTGAATCGCACACAAACTTTTTTAATCATATTTCACAAATTTTCATACAAAATACAAACAATTCCATAAAAAAAACTTTATTGAATTTATCTATTCCATCTAAATGCTAGGTGGACAAATACTTAATTAATTACAAATAAACGAATTCCAAACCTATTTAATTGCACTTCAAACGTCTTTGTGCAAAATACAAACGATTGCAAATAAAAATTATTTAAAAATACATTATTTTCCAGTCAAGTGTGGACGAATTGCGGCAAGCTTACCCGTGTATGCACTGTGCGCTTGAGCCTTAAGGTGGCAATCAATCGTGATTCGCTGAATCGAGTAAATCAATAAGTAAAAACCAATCCCGTTCGACTGGTGCTCTCAGCTGCTCAGTGAGTACTGGGGTTTAGTGATATTGGGTGCATCCGCTCTTGCGGTTCCCGCGAAGATTCGTATAACCTCTCTTGTTCACTTTTCGCAAGTGTTCCACACCCTTGTCTCTAGGTTAACGACGTATTTTCGCCCCTGTCGTAAACTCGGCGATTGCCAGCATCTGCCGCATAACAGGACCGCATTACTCGCGAAATAATGAAATGTTTAGATAACGAGATGATTCGTCGACTTGCGATTTGACAGTTCGCTCTCGCCAGCGACGTGTACGTACGTACGTATGTACGTACCAAGTGCCGTACGAACGTTCCGTTTATGAATGCACGCGAGGAGGGACACGCACGATGAGCACGGGCGCAAAATTCGCGTGGGCATCGTGATTCGCGCAAAAATTGCGGAGTACTGGCGGACGCGGTAAACCTCTTCTTTTTTTTTTACCGCCCGATCACCGCGGATCTGTCCCAAGCGTTGCTCGTCGTAAAGGGAAGAGAATCAAGATATGTGAGGCAGATCGGTCCTTACATGATCCGCAAATTTACATTTGTGCGTCGAGTGATAATCTCACGTAGTGTAGCGTTCGTTTCTTCCGAGCACGTTTCTCTTAAACGGCCAAATGTCAAAGAACAAGCTCAACTTGACATTACCACCTGGCTCGATAGAACCGGTGCCTGAAGCGTCACCGTCGCCGCCGGTCCCGCCTCTAGCCGTGTACCCGGAGCCCGCCGGTGAGATGTCGGAGTAAGTCCACTTGAATCGCTTCGAGCAGCACTGTTAACTACATTATGTACAACATCTATATGCAATTTTGTATATGTACCTATGTGTGTGTGTGTATCTTTTTACACTTCAAATACCTTTTGTATGAACATAAAAGGTATTTGAAGTGCAAAAGCTCCTGGAGCTCCGCGTTTGCAAGAGACGTGTACGATGTAACGATGATCGTCTCAACCTGCATTCGATATTGTGATTCATTTGAAAACGGTTGCCGAATCCTCCACGAGCCAATGTATTACCCGCCTACGTACTCGAGTTTGTACGAAGTTGCCGTCTGAAAGTTGGCCGTCTCAATTTTCTAAGAGCACAACTGTTTGCAGCGGCTTAAGGGACCCGTTGAGCATAGAGAATATCCAGGAGAGACTGGAGGATCTGGAAATGGACGAGGAACAGAAGAGACGATTGGAGAGCTTTCTGGGACAGAAGGAAAAGGTTGGGGAGCTGGGCGGCGAGGACTTTGAAAAGTTAGGCGAATTAGGCTCGGGTAACGGTGGCGTCGTTACCAAGGTCAAACATAAAAAATTTGGTCTCATAATGGCGATGAAGGTAAGCGGCCGGTGCGATTTTGAACATTCACAGGCATCATTTGCGACGCGCCCACTGACAATTTCTTTTCTCGCACTTTGTTAGCAAATACGTTTGGAAGTGAAGCCACCTATTAAGAAGCAAATAATTAGAGAATTAAAAGTCCTTCACGAATGTAACTTTGCACATATAGTTGGATTTTATGGCGCTTTTTGCAGGTAAACTTTCAAGTGCTGTTAATATTTTCAAATTATTCCTCGAGACGCATGCGTGTGTGTGTGTGTGCGCGCGCGCATGTGTGTATGCATGTCCCTATGGCTCTTTACAACTGTATACATGTGCTGTCTGTTGCAGCGGAGGAGAAATTTGTATATGTATGGAATATATGGATGGTGGATCGTTAGACCTAATAATGAAGAGAGCAGGACGAATTCCAGAATCCATGATAAGTACAATCACATGTGCTGTAAGTCAGATTTTTTTATTATTGATATAAATAAAGAGGAAAGGAGGATCTTCCGGCACAGTTGGGGGTAAATTCTATCGTAACAATTGGACTGCTTTGCCACTGGTGATAATAATAACAAATACTATACTCCCGTAAAGTTATTGGTAACGCTCGAGTATCCGAGTTATTTGATAAACGTCATCTCCGGCGAGTTCTCGTTCTCTTTGCGAGGCAGCTGAAAGGAGGAGGATCTCGCGGTCAGTAGTACGTTTCTCTCTCCATAATTCCACCGGGAAAGAGACGGATACACAAACGTCTCAATTCGTCATAGATCCAAAGAAATGCGCCGAGCGGCAGGCAAGGCCAGTACCAATAGGCCTTCAGAGGCATGGTCTTGAACACGTATTCCGTGCCTGGAACGTAGAGCAAGATCCCCGTTAGGATAACTTCGAAAACGAAGGCGAAGTTAACGAACCAGTTGCTCATCCCTTGTTGAAAGATGGAATTGCGCCTGGTCTTGCACATGACCAGATCAATCATTTGCGTTATAACGATGGAGAGGAAGTATCCGCTTTGCGCCTCCATCAAGAGATTCATTCTGTTCTCGTAAGTCCACGTTTGGCCCCAGGAGTCTTGTAGATCGTTGATGGACGGGTTCTCCCACTCTATTCGCAAGCCCAACAGGCGGTCGGGCATAAAGCCGTTCATCATAAGCACCATGAAGTAAGTGTAGAATCCAGCAAACGACTGCGTCATGCCTATCTGGCCGTAGGTGATGGATATCAAACGCTTGTTGACCAGTTTGTCGTACCGCGGGTTCCTCGGCGCTCGGCGCATTATATCGGACTCGGGCCTCTCGTAGGCGAGAGCGATCGCGGGAACGAGGTCGGTGCCGACGTCTATGCAGATGACAAGCTCGATGACCAACGGCAGCGGGATCGCGAGTAAGAGGCCGCTCAACATGGGCAACATCTCCGGCACGCTCGACGTTAACGTGTACGCGATCGACTTCTTCAGATTGTCGAATATCAGACGGCCCTCCTCGACGCCCGTGACGATCGACGCAAAGTTGTCGTCCATGAGTATCATGTCCGCGGCGTTCTTGGCAACGTCGGAGCCAGCGATCCCCATCGCTACCCCTATGTCGGCCTTGCGCAACGCCGGCGAGTCGTTTACGCCGTCGCCGGTCACCGCGACGATCTCCCCCAGCCGCTGGCAGCTCTCGACGATTAGCAGCTTCTGCTGCGGCGACGTTCTCGCGAACACAATCTCCTCGTGACTGCGTATGACGTTGTCAAGCTCGCTCGCGTCCATGTTCCTCAATTCGGCGCCGGTGATGACGATCGCGCCGACGCCGACGCCGACGTCGATCACCTGCGAGTGGTCTTGGATGATCTGCGTCTGAGACTTGTTCTGCAGGATCGCTCGCTCGTAACCAGTCTCGTGGCCCTCGCTTATGATACCCACTTTCTTGGCGATCGCCATCGCCGTTACCGGATGATCGCCCGTCACCATGATCACCTTGATACCGGCGGTGCGGCACTTGTGCACCGCCTCGGGCACGCCCGGCCTCGGGGGGTCCTGCAGACTAATCAGCCCGACGAATCTGTATCCCCGGACGGGAAAGTTGTAGGACGCGGGCGAGTCGGTGTCGAACCTGTAACTCGGCCCGTACGCGCTGCCGGGCAGATCCAGGTCGCAGTACGCCAGGACGCGTTCGCCGAGGTAGCCCAGCTCGATGCAGGCCCGGCGTGATATCGCGTGGTCGTTGGCGGTCATCTCCCTCGTCTCCCCGTCCGCCGTCAGTATCGTCGCGCAGTTGTCCAGTATCACCTCCGGCGCGCCCTTGAGTATCATGGTGTAACCGTCCCGGGCGTCCCGGTGTATCGACATCTGGCACTTGGTCGTGGAGCTGAACGGGATCTCGGCGACCTTCGGATGAATCTCGCGGTACCTCTGCGTCGGGTGGATGTGCTCGCAAAACTTGAGGATACCGGTCTCGGACGCGTCGCCGATGATCTCGCGCTCCTCGATCGGCGCCAGCATGAAAGACTCGGCGGTGAACTCGGCGCGCAGGCAGAGGGTGGCCGCTCGCAGCATGACGCCGAAGGCCGGCTTCTCCAGCAGCAGATCCCTCTCGACGCCGATCGTCTGGCCCGGCGGGAAGTTGTACCTGGTGTGGCCGAACCACAAATTCGACACGGACATCTTGTTCTGCGTGAGCGTGCCGGTCTTGTCGGAGCAGATGGCAGACGTCGAGCCGAGGGTCTCGACCGCCTCGAGATTCTTCACCAGGCAGTTCTTGCTCGCCATCTTCTGGGCGGTCAGCGTCAGGACCGTCGTCACGGTCACCAGCAGCACCTCCGGCACGTTGGCGATCACGATGCCGAGCAGATAGGTGAAGGCCCGCACGAGATTGGGCTCGAGCAGCAACGACAGGCCGAAGAACGCCAGGCCGGACAGAACGGCCACGATCGTGATGATCTCGACGAAGTGTCTGATCTCCTTGGCGATCGGCGTCTCGATCTTGACGAGCTGCGACGTCAGGCCGGCCAGACGACCTATCATGGTGCGATCGCCCGTCGCGATCACGATCCCTCTACCGTAGCCGGCGACAGCGAACGACGTGGAGAACGCCACGTTGGCGGACTCGAGGGGATTGCGGTCGGTGGGATAGTCGGTGCGCGCCACCGGCTCGCTCTCGCCGGTGATGCTCGAGTTCTCGACCCTGAGGCCGCGACACTCGATTATCCTGATGTCCGCCGGGATCTTGTCGCCCATGCGTATCTCCACCAGATCGCCCAGCACCAGCTCCTCCGTGCCCAGGCGCAGCTTCGTACCGCCGCGGATCACGGTGGCGAAGGTGGGCACCATCTTCTTGAACGACTCCATCACCTTGATGTTCTTGCTCTCCTGGATGTACGCGAATACCCCCGAGATGATGCATATCAGAACGATGATGAGGCCCAGCCACGCGATGCCAACGTCGGCCTCGTGCGTCAGATAAGTCACGGCGTACAGGACGAAGCATAGACCCGCGCAGACCCAGAGCAACGAGGCGAATCCGTGAAACATGCACTTGAGGAACTTGACGTATTCCGGCGTGACCTTGGGCGGCGACAGGGCGTTTGGTCCGTCTCGCTCCATGATTATACGCGCCTGCTCCTTCGTCAGGCCCGTCTTTGCGTTTGTGCCCAGCCTCTCGTACAAGGTGTCCAAATCTATCAGGTGGTCGACAGTCTCCAATTCCTGATGCAGCTCTTGTATCTCCCACTCGGTCAGCTTCTTCCTGTGCAGGTGTACGACGGACGTGCGGCTCGGTTGCTGCGCCGTCTGCTGCGCCTTCGAGGTGTTCTGCATTGCTTTCTTGGAAACGAACGGATTTGTTGACACGTACTTAGAGACGACGCGAGAAGTAGAAGGAAGAAACGTACATATACCTCTTGCTCTTCCTTCGTTGCGTCCTCCTCGGTGACCGCCGACCGGTTGGTCACAAGTGTGTCAAGTGCGAGGTCGGCGAGGTGTGACAATCCGCGTCAGTGCCAACTTGTCGAGAATACTCGCTTCCTCTATACTTTGCTCGCTTGTTTGTCGACAACTGCATATCGTTTCTCCCCTTTACAGGTTCTGAGGGGTTTAGCTTACCTACGAGATAAGCACGCCATCATGCACCGGGACATAAAACCGAGCAACATCTTGGTGAATAGCGCGGGCGAGATCAAGCTCTGCGACTTTGGCGTATCCGGACAGCTGATTGATTCGATGGCTCACTCGTTCGTCGGTACGCGAAGTTACATGTCGGTAAGCCACTGAAGCCACGGGGCATGGATGTACGTGCGTACAATCGCGAGACCTTGTACATACGTCGTCATTAATATCGAGCGTTTTGTTTTTTCAGCCAGAGAGACTCCAGGGATCGCGTTACTCGGTGCAGAGCGACATTTGGTCGCTCGGATTGTCGCTCGTGGAATTGGCGTTCGGTTTGTATCCTATACCGCCGCCGGACGATAAGCTTTTGGCTTCCATATTCGGTGCCGAATGGGAGAAACACTACGGGGAGAGTTCTTCGAGCGATACGACGGACGCGTCTGGTACCGGAACCGAGACCGACTCCTCTGACTCCGCATCCATGCAGCCGCCTCCACGACCGCCAACGAGACGTAGTCAGTACTCGTTCCGTTCGATTTGTCGCGGCCGCGGAAAAGAAAAAGATTATGCGTGTATGTGATAATCTATGTGATTGTTCATCGCGTAGGCACGCACGCTCCCAGACCCCTGGCGGTATTCGAGCTGTTGGAGCTGATAGTCAACGAGCCGCCTCCGAGACTGCCAGCCAGATTATTCACCAACGATTTCATAGATTTCGTCGATCGTTGCTTAAAGAGGAACGCCAACGACAGAGCAGACTTGAAAACGTTAATGGTACGTCCCTCGGATAAAATTGAAATGACGGTTGACCGAGCTGGTCGCTCATCATCCGACGTGTGTGTTTTAGAATCACGACTGGCTGAAGAAAGCAGAGTTGGAGGAGGTGGACCTCTCTGGATGGGTGTGCCGTACGATGAACCTGCAACCATCTACGCCAACGCACTTATCGACCGTGCAGTCCTGAATAAATGTAACTCTTACATACTTGACTACGTATATTCGCGTTCAGTACTCCTGAGTTGGGCCTCGGTTCATTTAGGTTCTCATTCGGCCAAACGGTGGCGTATATTCCCCCTCTTCCTTCTTACAAAATTCGTATACCTACGTTTTTGGTAGGTGTGTCAAATCCGTATCAAGTGGGCCAGATCCGTATCAGGTTGACACAGGTATCGCTGGTATCACTGTTGAATATTACGCGAATGATTACCAAGGGATTTTACGTTACGTTACGAGGGTGTGAAACTTTACGTAAAGAATCTGGCTGTGTGTGTGTGTGCGTGTGTGTGTGTGTGCATGGGATACCACATTGTCACGTTTCTTGGCGCTATTTTCTTGGCTTTATAAGGAGAGTTACGACTACGTTGTAATAATCTGACAAGTACCGCGATACATAGGTGAGATATTTGTCTGGCGGATTGATTCTTGCGGACCGAATCAGTCACGTTTTGCTCGGACTTTGCTCGTCCAAGTATTTGTACGCAGCACGCCACTGTGCCAAATATTAATTTCGTAAGATTCACTTTACGTGTTCGTCTTATGCTTCTGTTGAAAGTATGTAAGATGACAAATTGCAATATAAGTTTGTTAGATTCATGGGCAAATTACGTTCCCCGTGATATGATATTAGGATGCGCGAATGAGCATTAAACTTACGAACGTCGTTTGAGAAAATTAATTAGATCGAGTTACTTGTATAAGATTTGTACCTGACATCCATAGACATCGTTATTTACACGATCAAAAGAACTTCATTCTTAATCACGTCAAGCCGTTGTTTCTCAATGCATCTCAATGCCTTTGATTGAATAAAAACGGTTTATTTTTACTCACTCAGGCACTCATTCATACATGTGCGCGAGTGCACGCGCGTTTTTCACATTACATGAAATGTGGCCATTTTAAAAGGAGGCAATCTAGAGGAAATATTTTGATAATACAGCTCAAGTCCTTGGAATTAATTGGCTTGCAATGATAAAATTCTCACGAATTCGTCGACATTAACTTGTATAAACTTGTATTTAAGAGACTATTGTATACATTTAAGATGTAAAAGACCAAAATTCTGTCATCGCATCGTAATCTTCGATCCTTGAGTACATTGGCAAACGTACAAAGTAGAAAGAATTTTTCATTTTTCACATAATCGCGATTTACATCACGAATAATGAAATACTTTATAACAGGATTTGACCCATCTGCATACTCGATAGGATTTAGAATATTTTATTATAAATTTTTTGCTGTAAAGTATACGTGCATACGGTGGGTGATATTCTCGATTCCTTCCTAGTGCTAAATGTGCGATGAAGATTGGATTTATTATTGATATTGGACATTAATTTAAAAATATAAAATGCATGACGATAATAGAGCGAAGTATCTCACATTTTCACTTTGTTGATGAATAATAAAAATATGTGTACGTGTGTGTGTGTGAGCGCGCGCATGTAACTTTTGATTGTTATTATTTATCGACAATTCATCCAAATGCGTACATATATGTATGTATATGCAGCCGTGCGCGTGTGCGCGCGCTACACAAATGATTCAACTGCGACAAAAAGATTGACCTTTTGCGCGTTCTCAATTGCATGTCAAATTTTATTGTGCAACTTTTATGAATATTACTTGAGAAACGTCTTGCCGTTTCATTATTATTAGTGGCCAACTTGAAATTCGCGAATATTTGCAAAATTAAGTGCTAATACAAGTAGGTACTGTTCAACATTGTCTCATCACCTCCATCACCTTATATGCCTCATTGTAAAAGTCGCTACGATAAAAAGACATTTAATCGTGCAGCGCTTAATCAACGATTACATTCCTCATTACATTATTTGGCATAAAAGAGTTGACAAACTGGGCATATCTCATCAGTAGCGAAAGTACACGAGTGTATAAACAGTAACGGTAGGTCATTGTTGTCGGAAATAATATTGTGATCGATTTGTCGTTGGTTGAAATGTCTTGTGCTGAATATATATATCTATGTTTTTGTAGATGTAATCTACAAGTTGGTTTCATACCGCATGTAACAAGTGTCTACGGGCTGGCTTATTTTATCATCGGATTGTACTTGTGCGTATGCGTGTGCGTGCGAGTGCGTGCTCGTACGCGCACACGAGTATACTTGTGTGTCGTGTGAGATACTTCTCCATGTGTGTATGCGTATGAGAGCGCGAGACGCTCGAGAAATTTAAGTCATGTTACGTTTATATCGCGATCACCAGCAACACAATAATATTAATAATAAGAACAAACGCATATAATGCATACATTGTTGTAAAATGATTTCTATTAACACATCATAGGAAGACAATACACACGATTGAAGGAGATCCGCGAAAAGATCGTGTCGTAAAGTGTATGGAAATGCTAATATAATTTAGCAATTTTATCAAGCGATGATTCATAATTTTGCGCAGAGTTCGTAATTCCTAGCACTTATTAAAATATGTGCACATTCCTTGTTGCATATATGTGCATAATTGCAGTTGTATTGATTCATTGTCTAAACGTTATTAATTATAAATACAATAAAATCATCAATGTTGTAATTCTACAACTCTCGATATCCAAAACACCCAAGTACAGACGACAAGGATGGCAGGAGAGCGAGGAAAATGGAAAGATAAAAGGGAGACTTCCTCGTCGGAAAGTCTAAAATAGATGTGCAGGTACGCGTATGGTAGATGTAAATTTACGTTTTTTATTATATCGCGTATGTAACCTTACATGTGTATTCGCGTATTTGACCATAGAGCGTTTCATTTATGGCGGCAGGTATCTGAAAGGCGGCAGGTATCAAGAAAATCATATAACAACCAAGACGAAATCTTGAAATCTTAATGACAAAACTAACGATAAGAACGAATCTGTTTGAGCAGTAGAAAACTGGTAGCCTTAACAATCTGCATCGTTACACAAATAATAATCAGGTTCTCTATACTCATCCTCCGAATAGTCCGTATAGTCTGAATATTCCACATAATCGGAATACTCGGTAAAATCTGAACTATCATCGTACCAAGAATCTAAGTCGTCCGTGAGACATAAAGTGGCCATGCTATAATTGCACAAATTGACGTTAACTATATGCAATAGCGGGGGCAGTGTCTTTTGATCTGGCTCCTTTCTAGGGAGAATTGCCGTTCCTCCGACAATCATCTTCAGCACGACGTTGTTAGTTCGACTGCTGCAAACGTCTTTAGCAACCTCAAGAGTGGCATTCCCGATATACCTACATCCGGAAAGATCCAACAGTTGCAACTGGGGCGAGGACTTGATGAACACTGCCACGCCCCGATCGGAAACTAGACATTGCCGGCACTCCAACTCTTTCAAGCCGCACACGTTTTTCAAACCGTCGTCAGTAATTGTAAACATATTACTGATTATTAGTTTTTCTAATCTTGTTAACGTAGCGATAGCCGTTAATCCGGCGTCAGTCACGTTGCAGCAGCCTGTAATCGGATACGTAATGTAACGTTATTAATTGCAAGACAATTGAAAAGATGCGTATCGCAATAAGCGTAAATACGTATACGTGATAACTTACCTGTAATGTCTACGCTGGTAAGCTGCTGACAATGTTGTACCAAATCGATAAAGAAACCGTCCGACACTTTAGAATTGTTTGTGATTTTTAAAACTTGCAGATTGACGAGGTGAATTAAGTACGACATGTCCGCAGTTTGCGCGGAGGGAAAGTCTCCACTGAGCTCCAATGTTCTTAAACTTTTACAGTGCTCGCCGACAACTTCCAACGTGTTTTTCGTTATGCCGACGCATTCCTTTATCGCGAGGTGTCTCAAATTCTCGAACTTCTTTAGCGCCTAGGGACAATATCAATCACACGTTATGGCAATCGTATTGCGATGACGAGAACGGTGAAGAACAGTGAAGAGAGCGCTCCATTTACCATTGAAAGGTGATTGTCCTCGAGGTAGTCGCAGCGGTCCAACTTAATTGTATGCACAGTTTGCTCTGGCAAGCATAACAAACATTTGCCCATAATATTGTTTTTCGTTATCGCGAGAGATTTTAAGTTTGGATTTAACGTAAAGAGACCCTTCAACTCGTTCTCACAACCGTTTGTGGATGGGCCTAAATTGAACTCGGTTATGTTACTACAATTATTTGCCAGCGTGCGTATACCTGACGCACAAACTGTCAGCGCGGTAACATCGATACTGGTAAGATTGGGGCAGAGCTTGCCGATAACAGTCAATGTGCTTTGGCTTAAATAGTGAATCGGCTCGTTCAGGTTGATCTTCGTTAAGAATCTACCACACTTGAGCAGTATTTTACGAAGTAAAGCCGTACGGATGATGGGGTGGATCTTGGTGAAGCCCCAAGTAGAAGGCAATAGATCCAATGTCTTGACCATGTGCCAAGAATCTTGACTCAACTCTCGCCAGCGTTTGCAAACTGCAAACAAATATAGGGGCAAATTGGTATACATACGTGTAAACGTGCCTCAGACAAAACGCTCACCTATCTCTATGCGAACTCTGTCTGTAATCGGCAGAAATAGGAAGATGTGTCTCAAGCAATCGTCGTTCAGCATATGAATGGACACCTGCTCGGGGTCGTTCCGCAGATACTTGTTCTGAACGTATTGCTCCGTGGTAAGCTTCCTATCGGAGGTCTTGCTGGAGTCTTTTCCCGCCACGTACACTTTGTGTTCCATACTGTCCGGCTGATTCCAAGAATCTGCAGCCATCACCCTTAAATCTCTGTTGTGCAATCGAATTCGTTTCCTACTTCCATCTTGTATCGCTCTACAATCAACAATCGGTTACGAACAACCATTATTTGCCGGCGAGTCTTTTCAAGGCCAGTATCACCCCCTCGTCGAAACTTACGCCATTGCGTCTGCCACTTCAGTGAACGTGACGAACGCGTAGTTACTTTTCCCGTGAATTCTACGCAAGTAGCAGCTCTCGACCGGTCCGTAAATGGAAAAGTAATTGCTCAAGTCCTTGAAAGTTGTCTGGAAAAAGAGAGATAGTCAGATTATCATAGGTGCTTTTGGGAGAGTCGCTTTTAGCGTTAAAATCGTCTTCTATCTTCGTTCGAGATATAGCGCCAATGTGGCGTAAAGATTGCAAGAGACAAGATACAAACCCTTTCAGCCAAATTACTGATGAATAATTTTCGTATCGGCACGCCGTCAATCATTTCCGAATGTGGACAGTCTGAGTGAAAGAAAAGACCAATCTCAGCCGACGGAGAACTTTCGTTCGGGATTCAACGAATACAGATACAAATACAAACATAAATGCAAAGGTCAAATTGGCGAGACGCCCGCTCAGAGAGTAGGGGAGTCCAGGTTCAAGCCCTGGCCGAGGCAATGCTTTTCGCAATGAATTTTCTGTATTATTAAAAGTGCCGGATGTGGTAGGGGAAAAAAAACACTGCAGTTACAAATTTAAATTGTAAAATTCAAGCCGCTTACCCACAGACTTGCGTACACTACTGCCCACTGCTACCTTCGAGCTGGAACGCGGGGCAAGAGTTCCGCCGAGATAATTAAAGTAGCAAGTATTATTTACTCACTTCTCAGCTTGGAAGGTAGCAGTCTGACAGTAGATCGAGGTCCGTGCGCTTACCGTCCGATACGACCACGCTTATGTGATGAAGCAACTCGGCATAATCAATTTCCAAAGTATCGTCCATCGTTGACCTTTAACTCGCGAACGCTCTGTCCCTTTGTACCATGCTTTTTGTACCACGACGCGTACGCAGGCCCTCTTCAGTTCTGGTTCATATAGCTTCACCTGTCTCCCACTTCTTGCACGAGGGTAAACACGCGACCCTGAATTCCGGAAGTCGGACAACCTTTCCGCCCCGCGCGACGAGACTCGCGAAACGAGTGGCTCTGTGTGTTCGATGTATGTATGTGTGTACGTGTAATCGACTCGACAGGGGGACAGCGAGCACAGTCAATGTTAGGTCAGGTAATAGATGTATACAGTGTTACAACAGGGCTGCGTTCGGGAAGACCGGGAAGACGTACGCTATTAGAGCTGGAAGCATCGCCCAAGGAGAACGAAAAGTCATTTGACATCAAGAATTTGGCACAAATTTGGTCAAGATGACATCAAATTGACATCGTCCGGAGAAGAAAAAAGACAGGATGATGTCAATTTGATATTGACCAAATTTATGTCAAATTCTGGTCAATTTGATGCCATATTATTGGGAAAAATATTACTGCAGCCAAGACAACGATAAAAGGCCGGATATCCGGCACATTATTAAATATACAACTGCTGTCCATGTGTTTTTTTTTTATTAACGAGAGACGCAATCACACACGACTCACGTGACTTACGATGAGAAATAATCTTACAAAGTTTTCATTAACAATGGCTATACAATGACACACGTAAAATAAAGCTGTACAGATACTGAAGTAGATTCGTTTGAGAACGCACAATTACATTTACACATTTGTTCCAGGCAAAACGATCAACTGGCTCCTGAGGAATTGTGCTTTTTCCATTTTTCTGTAAACTCCAATACCTTCATCGTTTGTTCCTCAAAACTTTGTTTTCTCGGTTTCCGCCACAGGTTGTGATCCAAGTCTAGCATCCCTCCGATTATTTCCTAAAAAAATATACATATAACGTCAATTTACATGAATATCAAAGACTGCAGAGTCTTGGAGCGAACGTATCTCACCTTGGCAAAATTCTGCGGAAACATCTCCTCATCCTCGATCACGTGAGCATAGCCAGAATGCGAGGCAAATTCTACCATAAAGTATGATAAACCGTTAGGCACAGCGTGGCGTACACCTTTGCTCGTAAGATCAACAATTTTCTTGTTGATGGACCATTCAGTTTCACATTCCAACAGGGCTTTCTGTAACGTAACGGAACAGCTATCAAAGTTTAAGGATTCACCACATGGATCTTGTACCGTAACGTAACGCTTACCTTAAAATACACCGGTCCCAGCTCGCCAATCTCTTTCGGTAACGGAATACATTCCAATTGCATGTGTGAAAATTTACACCGTCTTTTGTACACTTCAAAAAATATCGGATAAAGACCTTCCTCCATGAACATCTTTACCAGTTTTCCTTTAAATTCCTTTAAATCACACACGGTTAGATGGATTTCATGTAGAACAGGCATTTAGTTAGCGTAGTTTGATGAAACTAATTGTGCGAGCAACAATTACCTTCAGCCTATCCCACACATCTTCGTCCAATTGCAACTGACACGCCACGTGCTGTACAGGTGTCAATATACAATGACCGGCACTCAAGGAGGTACAAGCAGGCAGGCTCAAGCAAATGGCAGAGTCCATTGCAACGACCATGTGCTTCAGCATGTTCTTGGAGTCAAGGCACCACCAACAATTGTCCATAAATTTCGACAAATTCTTGTGCTCCTTAATCGCCTGCTTACGGTCCAACTCGTCCTGTCTCGCTTCCGAGTCTGTTTGTGTGATCTGTTGCTCAAATATATCGTCCATGTGAGCCATGCCCTGCGAAAAAAAAGATATTTTCCATACAATTTCATCATATTTCAACGTATACACATATGTACATATTCGTTCGGCAATTTCAACTTCATCACTTCGCTCGAGTGACTTACTTTACGGGTGATTTTAGTGAAGATCGCTTCGTCTTCGTTCGTGGACCTTCCTTTCTCCCGTTGAAACTGCAATAGGAAATTGTTACGTTCACATTTACGTTGGAGCGTCTCGAAAAGTTGAAAGAAATGAGGGACCACCTACCATTTCTCGTAACGAATATTTATCATCGTCTACGAAATGGCGCACTCTCTCGCCGGAGATGTGTGTCTCGGCAGTTTTCTTCCTTCTGCTGTCCTCCCGCTTGGATTTGCCTCTAGGTTGTAGCCTAGGTTCTATCGGCCTTGCGACACCTAATACGCATACACTTGAATGTAATAACTTCTTTTCACAACGATTAGAATGATAAAACGTGTACCTTTCGCATCGGTTCTCACGAGAATGACATTGTCCTCCTGCGCACTAGTGCTACACGTTGTAACTTGCTTCCTCGCGCCTTCCAGTTGGACTTTGAGCTGCGCTGCCAATTCCTAGATACATATAAACAAATTCGTTTCAGTGAGTAAACGTAAGAACAACGTTGGTAAAGCGAGAAGCGTACATTGTCACCCATTAGCTCGGCCTTAACAATTCTTGCCCCCAACTTGTTCATTTCTGCTTCGGTCAAAACTGCAGACGCACCTGCGACGCCATCGTCTTCATCCGTCGCACTGTTAATGCTTCCTAAATCAACTTGTCTCGGTGCTGATGCAGGTAACTCGACAACTTTATCATCATTCTTATATTTCTTCCAGTTTTTTGTACGACTAACGGCAGGTAGAGCCTGGTGATAATAATCGTCGTTATCTTTGGGTCTTTGACAAGTTCGTTTCAACCCTGCGCGACGTTGCGACGAATAGTCAGATGTATCGCGTTTCTCAGCACGGTCCCTACTTCTGGATCTCGATCTCGAACTTCTTCTCGGTCTCTGACTGGAAATTCTATAGGCATCTCTGTCGTCTCTGTCGTCGTGCAATCTTTTACTTTTACAATATGATTTACTCCGTTTGGCATCGGACATTCCTTCCGCTTGACTTATCATGGCAAGTATAGCTTCTAAGGACTGAGAGAAAGAACCACCGTTAATAATTAACGTAGCATTTCGCACCCGTGGAAACGATTAGCCTTCATCAAGTAACTTACGCCCCAACGTTCTGCAGCCACTTCCTCCAAAGTTTTACCATCTCGAACGGCTTGTTCCTCGGCACGCCGGAGGCTCTTTTTCAGCCAGTTTGCATCCAAAATCCGTGCCTTATCAGACTTCTCTGGATGATTTCGAGGTAATCCGTCACCTCCGTCCTTCCAGTGTGGATTCAATTCCCTGCCGCTCTGCCCCGGTTTATCCGGAAACACCTCCGCCTCGGCCCTGTCCTTCCGCGTAACACTCCGCGATACTTGTAGCTCGGCATTGGATAGATGCGGAACGAAACTTTCCACGTTCATCCACTCGTCCCTCTTGACTTTACTTTCCTGCACCTTGGCGTCAACGTGATTTTCAGCGGTGCGCGACGAAACTTCATCCTTCCCACCTCTCTCCACCCACTCGAGTCGATCACTGTCGTCGCTTCCCTAAAAATGTTGCGCAAAATATTTTATAACGCCGACACTACGCTCATGGGGCTCGTGTACAGACGTTGGGTAAGAAATGTAAAATCTTTGATATTTACGCTGCTCGACGATGAGCACTTCCTCTTTTTCTTGTGCTTCTTCTCCTTTTTGACTTTTCGTCTTTTGGTTTTAGACTTCTTGCTCCATTTCCTGCCCACGCACAGACCGATATCCTCAGCCTTGACTTTATCAGTTTTACAAGCGTCTACGTGATGATCCTGTCGAAAAGGTACAAGTGTACAATAGAATGAGTTGCTCGAGAGATGCAAATTTCGCGAAATTTATAAGAGTAGGCGAAACATTGATATTTACAACCGCGTTGCATTTATGACGAACGAAACGACAAGTAGCAGATAACAAGTACCATAACTGCGTGTGTTCGCTCTATTTTACAGATATACAGCAGACCGCTATATATTTCGCCGTTTCAATTGCCTTCAATTGTTGAATCGACCGTTGATACTTGTCGAGCTGTCAAGAGCACGTTCTTACTCGTTCTTTCTTCTCCGCACCTCTCTCTGTGGATTATTTACTCTTACGGGAAATTTACATGTACTATTTTTAAGCGTGTTGGCTGCAGGATAGTAAAATTATCGAGTATCTAGAAACCTTTTAAAGAGCGTGATTGCAGTATAGTTTATTGTAGCTATTATTATAATGTTTCCGCTTCTCTGCATTGTGGAAGCCATAGACATGGCAATTATTAAGCCCGTATCAGACTACGGATTGAGATTGGGATTAGATTGAAATTTGACCAATCAGAGTAAAAGTTAGTCCCAGTCTACAATAGAGATTTAAGCCCTAAGCCTTAAGAAATTGACTAATCACAGTCGCGCATTCTTCTCATACTTGACCGTGATTGGCCAATTTCTTAAAGCTTAGGGCTTAAATCATCTATTGTAGACTGGGACTTACTGAACTTGCGATTAGTAAACTTTACTGTTATTGGTTAAATTTCAATCTAATCTCATATACGGCGAGCGACAAGGATAGAATGGCCGCGTTCAGCAGACACAACTGTTGAGTGAGCGCTCAGTATGATTGGTTAATACTTTTAGATCCAGCCAATCATATTAAGGATCTAAAAGTGTTAACCAATCATACTGAGCGCTCACTCAACAGTTGTGTCTGCTGAACGCGGCCATTGACACGCTGGGGTACCCGGGTGGTGTTTCTGAACGCAGCCTAGGCCGGTATTCATAG